CCGCCAATGTGATATGGCCATGAAAAAAGCTAATGCAGTCTTGGGATGCATCTGGCGAGATATTTCCAGCAGAGATAAGGAGGTGCTAGTACCATTATACAAGGCACTGGTGAGACCTCACCTGGAATACTGTGTGCAGTTCTGGTCTCCCATGTTTAAGGATGAATTCAAACTGGAACAGGTACAGAGAAGGGCTACTAGGATGACCCAAAAAATGGAAAACCTGTTTTGTGAAAGGAGACTCAAGGAGCTTGGTTTGTTTAGCCTAACCAAAAGAAGGTTGAGGGGAGATATGATTGCTCTCTATAAATATATCAGAGGAATAAATACCAGAGAGGGAGAAGAATTATTTAAGCTCAGTACCAATGTGGACACAAGAACAAATGGATATAAACTGGTCATCGGGAAGTTTAGACTTGAAATTAGACGAAGGTTTCTAACCATCAGAGGAGTGAAATTTTGGAATAGCCTTCCAAGGGAAGCAGTGGGGGCAAAAGACCTATCTGGCTTTAAGATTAAACTCAATAAGTTTATGGAGGAGATGATAATGATGGGATAACATGATTTTGGCAATTAATTAATCTTTAAATATTAATGGTAAATAGGCCCAATGGCCTGTGATGGGATGTTAGATGGGGTAGGATCTGAGTTACTACAGAGAATTCTTTCCTGGGTATCTGGCTGGTGTATCTTGCCTATATGCTCAGGGTTCAGCTGATCGCCATATTTGGGGTCGGGAAGGAATTTTCCTCCAGGGCAGATTGGCAGAGGCCCTGGAGGTTTTTCTCCTTCCTTTGTAGCATGGGGCATGGGTCACTTGCTGGAGGATTCTCTGCTCCTTGAAGTCTTTAAACCATGATCTGAGGACTTCAGTAGCTCAGACATAGGTGAGAGGTTTATAGCAGGAGTGGGTGGGTGAGATTCTGTGGCCTGCATTGTGGAGGAGGTCAGACTAGATGATCATAATGGTCCCTTCTGACCTTAATATCTATGAATCTCTGCTTTTGCTAAACTCCACCACATGCAGACAGCCACTGCCGCATATCTTGGCCTAACTTGCAGACAAACATGTCACTCTCCAAAGCTAGGTCTCAAGTGTGACCTTTCTACACTGGTGCAACTTGGAGTCTCCTGCCTCACTGTGCATCCCTTCCAAACACTCCTCTCCTCAGCTCACATGGCAACTCGCAGGACAGGGTTTGGTTATCAGGGGTCACCAGCTGGGAGGGAGGGGTTCTGTTACTTCCATGCTACATCAATGTCAGCTTAACGATACATTGGTAGAGTCCTTAGTATAAAACTTTAAGCCCTGGATGGTCAGTTTCCAGCCCCAGCAACCATGACACGGCCTGAAATGGGCCATGTGTCCCGTGCACTGTCTGGCCCTGGTGAGGGGCACAGTTTGACATAAATCAGAGATGCGTTTTAAAAGACCCTTTGATGTGCTGTAAGTGAAAAGCTGCCAAATTGCTACAGAAAGTGCTGTACACTGATATTAATCCAAATCCCTACAAGAGAAAAGGGGAAAGGACAGATCACTGAGGACAGACATGAAACAACATTACACAACAAGACTATATTACACACCCCAGCAGCCATTTTAACTGGTGGGCATTCAGATAATTTTAAAATAATTAGTTGGCTCAAGTATAATTGTGCGAAAAAAGTGCCCAGAATCCAAGCCAGTGCTCCAAGAACTACCCCACCACACAGTCTCAGCAGTCTAGGCAGAGGGGACCCAGGGGATGGGCTCTGCAGCGGCATCGCCCCTAGACCTGGCACAAGCACCACATTAGATCACATCTGGGTGTCACTGTTAGGTCGCCCGACACTCTCCATTGGCAGAGGTTCTTGTGACCGTCCTTTGAGCAGCTCTCACACCTCAGCCTCTGACAGGTTTTGTCTTGGAGCTTGAGATGTGCCTTTTGCTGGCTGCACGTAACTCTGATCAGGTCTGGCCCAGTTAGAAGGGGCTGACAATCACCATTTCCCAGCTGTGTTTTCACAGAGCACAGCTCACCTTGGCAGCATGCCCTGCAGATCCTAAAGGACCACACATGCACTCTGCCCCAGGGCCTTATTGCAACACCCCGCAGAAAGCTGGGTCTCTGGGCAAGACATGGACACAGTGAATCCAGGAGACATGGAGCAGGGGAAAATGGAACGTCTTTGGGGGACCACTACAGATGGGGGAGCCAAGGGCACAAAGAACATTGGGAAGCTCAGAGGGTTACAGAACCCTTGGGGAGGGGACAGAGAGGAGCAAACTATCCTTTGGGGAACACAACGGGGATTAGAGCTCGGGGGGGAAGGGGGCACAGTTTGCTCTGTAATGCCACAGAAGGGGGACAGCCTTCTGCAGCTTCCAGACCCTGCAATTAGCCTTTAGCCTCTGGGGTATCATTTCCCAATGTGGACCTATGTAAGTGTTATTAGCCATAGTCACATACATAGCAGGCAGCTCTGTCAGGCAAGAACTGTGAGGGAACAGCAGCAGCAAGGACACAGCTAATGCTTGTGAACTGGGAGGGTTTCGCCTAATGCCATGATGGAGAACCCCCCCCCCAGTCACAGTTCACATGTGCTGAGGGGATCTCCCAGGCCACCCAAGAACCCCAAAGAGGCAAGTCCTTGGGGACCAATAAGGAAGCAACTCAAAATGCCATTAAGTAAATCAGTTGGGAATATTCCAGGTATTTTAGGGATTACAGTGCAGATTAGCACCACCCATTTAATCTAGTTCTACTCTGCAGTGTAAAGAGCAGCCAGACGGCTCAGGAGCCCATAGCCCCAGGGTCCCCTCCCTCCCAAAGACTCTGTCTCTGGAAATGTAGATCTACAGAACCTCGCCTCTGGCCAAGGAGTGTACAGCCACATTCAGGAAGCAGCGGGAAAGACGGTACCAGCCCAGGGCCAGCTGCCTGCCAGGCCGCACCCCCAACGCAACTCAGAGGACCCTAAGGTAGTGCCAATTAGCCTACCAGCCAATGGCCTGTCCAAGGGAGAATACCCCGGCCAGGGATCCCCTGACCACACCCCTATGCCACAAACAGGGCGGGGCACAGCTGCCAAGTTTTGTGCAGCTCCACGTGTGAAATTTCTCACCAGTGAGAATCACCAATCTCTCCCTTCCAAGCAGTGGGAAGAACACGAGGGGAGGGAGAAGGGGCAATGCAGGGGGTGTCCAAGGGCAGACTACAGGAGAGGTAATGGGCTCATTTGTGGCAGAGAAGGACAAGTGAGCCTTAGGCAGCCTGGAGGGCTGTTAGGGGTGGGGCTCTCCATCCTTCTCCTCATTACCCTCCAGCTTCCATTCCTCCAGCTTCCCCTCATCCCACCACAGGCAGGCTGGGTGTCAGCCCGGGGAGCAGAGAAGAGACTCCCTGCCTTTAGTGCTGGTGTCTGGCACCATAGCTGCTCCAGGGCGGTAAATGCAGGAAGAGTATTGCTGAGTCCCTGCAGCCCTGCTGGAAGCCTGAGACTCCACCAGGGCTGCAGGCAGGCATAAGGCAGAGGGAAAATGCACGAGTGTCAGACCCAGTGGGTGACACTGGACAGCACAGTAAAGGAGTGACATAGCAGTTTCTATCTCAGCTCTGTGCCACTGCAGCATCCCTACTGCATGGGGGTGACCCTTCCACGGGCCAGCACCCCCTGACAGCATGGTACAAATCATCCATATCATTTGATCTGGGCCGTAGCTCCTAGTGCCAGGTAATCAAGCACCAATCAAGGATATTAACCAACACAGACGGCATTTTCCAGGCTGCCAGCCAAAGACTGGCAAGCCCCTGCAAACCCCACAGGGGAGCCCGATCTGTACGTACATGGAACTCTCTCAATAGCCTTTCCTGGTGGAGAAGCACCCTGTATTATACAAGCATCCTCTTCAGCCTCTGACAAAGAGGAGAGGAAACATCTCTTGCCTACTTCTGCTCTCATTCATGGCCTCTCAGTCAGCAGTAACCCCACAGCAGCCATTGGAGCTGGCATTGCGACCTCCGAGCTGACTGGATCAGGAAAGGAAGCCTCTGCCAGTGCTGGACAGACAACTCTCCCCAGAACACTGTGAACTTCAGAGCCAAACATACCCATGGAAAGGAAGGCATCTGAGAGCTGGTTACTGACTCACTGGACCACTTTCTGCACTGAAAAGCTGGCTATCACCCTAGGTACCACACCAGGGCAAAAAGGGGCAGGCTGAGACCAGGCAAACTTGTTAAAAACACCCACCATCCCATCTGCAGAATCAGCTTTACCTGGAAGTTAAAACTGTCCCTAACCCCTCTTCTGGGGCTCTCCCTGCGCCACATCTCCCTGAATTCTTCAGCCATGGCTTCCGCTCAACAGGCTGGCAATGTGCCAAGAACATGTCATTATTTCTGCCATCCCATTAGTCTTCTTTATCAGCTTGCTTCTCCCTTGGATTGGGATCTTCACAGCTGCTGCCAAAGCTTTTGGTGACAGGATAGGAGCGTGAATTCTCTCCCCCTTCCAGCAGGGTGCATGCACACCAGCCCTGGTTGTGGAACAAGCATTCACTTTGGGGCACAGCGTTCAGCTCCATTAAACAGCACCCTGAACCTGACCAATGAGAACGGGGCTGACCTTCTCTAGCCTGACACCTTAGCACGTTCATTCAGTTAGCCAGTCACTGGTATGTTCCGAAACAAGCCATTCACTCCACACGCTGACATCTGAAAGGTGGTTTTCAGAACTGTAGCAAGTTTGCTGCTTCAGTACTTGGCTTCTACCCTGAGATAACAGAACGGTCCCTTTGTTCCTCAGTCTGCTACTGCACACAGCATCAGTAACCCAGGCTTCTCAGTGAATCAGACTCTCCCCTGGTGGCATGACCTTGGGGGTAACAAATGGGGACGCCATCATAACATTGATAAGGGAAGAGGGACAACAATCCATGGTTTTTCCTTACCTCTGCTGACAAGCATCCAAGCCTTCCTTGATAGGCTCTTTGTAACAAGAAAAGCCATGAAACCTGCAGCATAGCAAGGAATAGATGCTTGCACGACAGAATGGAGGCTACCCCACCGTGGTCAGCAGGATGTTCCCAGAAACACACTTCCCTGTAAGCCGGCAGCCTGTTTCACTAGAGTCTCTTCTTGTGTCTTTCTTTCTCATCTAACCAATTGTTAGACCTATAACTAGTTCGCTTGTGATTTTGTGCATCAAATGTGCAAGGCTCATTTCAAGTTAAAATTTGGCCTAAATGCATCTAGGACTTGGCTTTAAAAATGGATGCAGCTAGTTTCCATAATCTCAGAAACTGGAACCTGATGACCCTCCTGGCTCTGCATTGTTGCTGCTTTGGGGCTAGGGACGTTACAGGTGCCTGGCCATTAAACCTAGTCAGCCGGGAAATGAATACCAGCGACTGAGAGCCTTGTTTACCAGAGAGGCGGTTCCCGCTTTGGATTTTGACCATGATGGTCTGGGGCAGAGAGGGTCACTATGAATCAGAATGTTGCCACCTCCTGGAGCTCCAGCCCTTTAATGCTGTTTATCCTGAGTAAGTGAATTCCTGAGTTGAAGCTGGCACAGAGAAGCGTGGAGCTGTCACAGACAGCCAGGGAAGCAAGGGGTCCAGATCCATCAAGGCACACGGTGGCCAGACAAGCTGTGGAGAGAACAGGGAAGCATCAGTCAGTCAGATGCATTTCGTTGTAATTCAGAAGTACATTTTCACCAGTGAGACAACAAACAACTGACCTACAGAAAACAGTGGCTTTTTAAAGGGGGGGTGCAGTTACAGGGCCCTTCTACAGACACACAGGGATGACACTCAAAGGAAGCCATGGCCCAGCATAGGAAATCTAGCCCCACTTTGTCTCCCAGGTCAGGCACTTCTCCCACCTGACATTACCGCCACAGCACCCTGCTGTAGGAGCCTTCTTAGGGCTCCTAGTGGCCATGGGCCCCTCTGCAAGCCAGGTGTTAGCAGCTGGCATTTCTAGGATTAAAAAAGGGACATGATCAAGGTTTCCTCTTGCCCCTCTCTCAACCCAAAGAAGTGAGAGCTTCTACTGCTCAACAGTCCCATGACAGATACATGAAAACTAGCACAAAACCAGGCCCCACCTGGGTCACACCATCCCTTTGCTCTTCCACTCCCCCCGCAGTGGCGGACGGGAACAGAGATTAAGGGGAGATGACATGGCAAGCAGGTGCAATCTGTATCCGGAGTTTAGAGACAGCAGGTCACCCAGATTGTGAGCTGGGATTCCAGACTGTTGCAGTGCTTGTTTTGCAGGGGCTGCTCTCAGGATTAGCCCCTGCAGTGCCTCCGATTGGCTCTCTGAGTGCTGATCTGAAGCCCATTCAGGTGCCAACATAGCCTTAAGAAACTCCTGCAAGCCTGGGACAATGGAGGAGTCAGTCCTAATACGCACTGATACAGAAAAACACCTGATTGTGACAGTAACGGGGTTGGCACAGTTTGAAACACATTTTCAGGTACCCATTACACAAAGGGTTGTGAGAATCTGTACATCCTCTCGTAATAGCTGGTACGTTACAATAGCCCGCGGAAGGATCAATGCTTGAGGATTATTTGTTCTGCTTAGGCGCTATCATTTAGCAGATTTCCACCTCAGGACGTTGCCATCACACAGTGATTCGTCTGCAGGGCCCTGTTTCACCAACACATTAATTCCTTTGGCCTAATTGTTGCTGGATTTATTGTTCTCAGGCACGGGGGTGGGGTCACGTTCAGAAAGAAACCTCAGAACTTTAGAGCCTTACTGCTTTGCAGGAGGTGCAACCCATAACACATTAGCCTCAGAGCAGAAAACACAGTCAGCCGTCATATTAATTCAGCATCTCCTGATGATTTTGATCACCACCAATGGACATTAAAACAAGCCTCTCTTCCAATGCCAATTAAATTATTCGTTACTGCAGTTCTGGAGATAATCCTAATTAATGCCACACAAATTCCTCGCCCTCCCCCTGCTTATTTCTTTATTACATTTTTTTTGCAATGTACATTTGATCACCAAATTGGGGGTTGGGAAGGAATTTTCCCCAGGTCAGACTGACAGGAACCTGGGGTTTTTCACCCTCTTTGCAGCATAGGGTGCAGATCACTAGCTAGGATCATCTGGGTAATATCTCACTCATTTCATTCCCTGTCATTGCAGGGTCCTTGGGCATGGGCACAACTCGGTCACCCACCAGCTGCCCTGGCTCTCAGCCTGTGGCACACAACAGTTCAGTCTCCTGAGGGCTGCACTACTTCGGTCTGATTCTGGTTGTGGGGACTGGTGTGCGGGGCTGTTTGAATGACTTAGACTTGAACTTATTTCCAACATGAAGGAGGTTTCAGCATAAAATATATTTTAAATGGAGACTAGATCATCAGACATTTGCGTCTATATCTGGAGACAGCCTAATGTCCTGTGTCTTCTAGGGCATTTGTAGCAGCTCCTCCCACCCCAGTGGCACCAGCAGTGATTTTCACAGGGTATTTACGAAACAGGCAAACAGAATCAAATTCACTCAGTGTTGGTCTGTACAGCCCCTGGGTGCTTGGGATCCTGGGCCATGACTGGGTCCTAGGCACTATCGTAACACAAATTAATAATACACGATTTTGTACTCAGAGTCTTAGTTTACCTACTATTAAACAAGTGCAGATATCAACTGCTGGTTAAGACTGAGGCTAACATACCAATAATGCCATTCAACACACTGCATCTATGCAGGAGGATTAAGGCAGTTTATCGTGGATCCAGCCTGAGCTCAGGTTCCTTCACTGCCAGGGCTGGCAGGCAGCACAGACACCTGCAGAGTGGCCTCTACAACCAGCAGACTGTGGGATGAGCATGGGTGTGTGCAGGAAGCTGAACTGTCTGTGGGCAGAGGGAGAGTCTATGCAAACTCCTGTTTACAGTAGATGCATTGCCTGCAAGTCAGACGGTGGAATGGGAAATATAAAAAGGATTGCCAGTCTCTAGAGAGTCACTTCTGCAGTTTTGTTCACCTCTGCCCTCGCAGCATCAAGCTGAGAATGGGAAGATGGCATTTCTACAACACTCTGAGCTCTACATGTGGGTTACAAAAGTGCCGCATACCACAGGAATTTGTACGTAACTAAATTTCATACTGGTTTATGTACATAGCACTGCACCTAGATTAAAGCTAAAATTCTATCAAGAGGTTCTGGCAACACCACACCCCACATGATCAAAGATCCAGTGCTTTGCTAACATCACCAGAGCTGTAAATTCAGCTGTTTCCCAGAGCTCTCTTTCCTCTCTCTGTATTCTAAACTGGGTGGCAGATAAGCAACAACTAACCCAACCCTCCCAATCTAATAGTGCTTAGGAGGTATTTGCTCTTTGTTCTCTGATCATTGTAAGACCTAGCCTCATCACACCCCCAGGGTGGGAGGGGCTGGGAAGCATGTAGGATTAACCCCATAATGCCTGTAATTCCCAGTCACAAAAGTGAGTAGGAACATCAACCAAAGTGAGCGGGAATGTTTGCTCAGCAGGCCCTGGTTCCAAAATGCAATTACAGCTTCTAGTCCAATTGGGACAACTCCTTGGCATTTCCTTTCATATGTTATCCTGTCCTCCCGGCTGCCGGATTGTCTCATCTGTAAAACTCTATTCTTTATCTTTCATTTTAATCAGGATGTGACTGAGTTCCGAGGCTACAAATCTGAGCACTCATTATTTTTGTGATATAGAAACTGAGTCCAAGCTGTTTAACACAGGCCACGAAATAGCCATTTCTGTCAGAACCCCATAGGCTGGATCTGGGTCAGTGACCTACAGAATGAAGCAGAGGTCCCCAAACTGTGGGGTGCACCCCGCTATGGTGGCATGGAGGAATGTCTGGGGAGGTGTGGTGGGGCCCAGGCCAGCCCCCATGAGGGGTGGGGAGGAAGCACCACCCAGCCCCTCCCTGCCCCCAGCCTCATGCCTGGCCCCGTTCCCAGCCTCGGTGCAGCACCTCTGCACCCGGCAAGAGCTCCACTCCCGGCCCCTGCCATCTCCCAACCTGAGCTGCTGGCTGCGGCTCTGTTCCTGGCCCAGGACCAGCTGCCAGCCACCCACTGCAGCCTGACTGCAGCTCCACTCCCGCCCCTGGCCATGGCCCTGCTCCCGGCATGGGTGCTGGCTTCTGCTGGAGGGTGCTAGACTCTCCCCTGCCCTGCCCCAACTCCACCCCTGTCCCACCCCTTCCCCACCCCCGTTCCAACCCCTTTCCCAAATCCCTGCCCCAACCCAGCCTCTTCCCCGCCTCCTCCCCTGATTTCACCCCGTTCCTGCTCCTCCTCCCTCCCTCCCAGAGCTTGTTTCACCACGAAACAGGCAAGTGCTGTGGGGAGGAGTGGTACACTCAGGGGAGGAGGCGGAAGTGAGGTGAGCTGGGGCAGGGAGCTTGGCTGCTGGTGGGTGCAGAGCACCCACCAATTTTCCCCGTGGGTACTCCAGCCCCGGAGCACCCACAGAGTTGGTGCCTATGGCTCCCAGCACCAGCCTCATCCCCAGTTGAGGCCCCAGCCTCGATCCCCTTAACCCTGTCTGTGTCCCCCCCACCCACCTGGAGCCACATCCCCACTCCTGGCCCCGGGAAGGAGGGATGTGGACATGGGTAAGCGGGGGCGCGACCCTCCAAAGTTTGGGGACCGCTGGGATAAAGGCTCAGTAGCCCATCCTCAACCATCTGAGAGAGGAATAAAGAGGGATGTTTTAACACCCCGTCAATACATGGTTCCTCCTAAGTCACATTTTGAGGCCATACCTCCGTTGTCTTGGTTCCAGACCTTCACCATGCAGTCATGTGATGAAGTGGCAACGACTGGGGTCAGACCTAGACCCTTGGGAAGGAAGACACAGGATGTAGTGGTTTGGAAATGCCCCTTGTACTCACGCACTTGGCTTCTTGTCTGCCTTAGGTCCCACAGCTGCAAGGGAACAGACACAAAGAGCTCAACCCGAAGGCCACTTCACCAATTTGTTACTATTCCTTCACCACGCTTGGCTGCTTTACAAAGAAAAACCAATCATTACATCTCCCAGGAACCTCCTTGCTGTCCTCACTCAGCACCCGTCACCACACTGATACGGCCACGTATCTTGAGCCTGAGACAAACATACCCACGGAGGTTTACACGAGCGTCCCAGCTTGGTGCTCCGTTCCCCTCATCTCCCCACTGCATTGCTGGCAGACAGCCTGTTGCCAGTCTTAACTCCTTCACACACCTGTTCTGGGTTTGCTCTCCAGCCTTTGTCTTCCACTCCTCCCCGCAGCGGATGTGGGATGGTGTATGCCACATTCCCAGAGCTTCAGGGGTACAGCCTTGCAATCACCAAGACAGTTGTGGGACCCAGCCCCATGCCAAGTTTATTTTTAAATGCAGAGTCAAACTCTAGACTGACCGAACACAATAGGAATTTTGCTACTGGCTTTGGGTGGGATCAGCTCCCCTGAAAGAGTCAAAACCCAGTGGGATGATTTCTCATTAGTACACATTTCAAGAGGTTACATTCTCTCACTACATTCGACGCGTCCAGCTTGAACAGACAGGTAATTCTCTCTCTAATAAGTGCCCGTCACTTCTCTCTTTCCTGGCATCTCTTACAGCCATATGTCTCACTTAAAGCCATCATTTAGGCCTGCAATCACTTCCACACGCAGAGTCCCACACACAGAGTCCTGGGGATACACATGTGCAGAGTTACGTGTGGACTGAAGAGGTGGCAGGATCAGGCCTTAGACTGTAAACTCTCCGGGGCAAGGAGCTTGCCTGTGTGTTTTCTGTAAAGCTTGTCCCATGTGGAGCTGAAATCCCAGCGCTGTGATGAAGGCAGAGCATTCGTTATCACAAAGGAAAGCTTTTTAAAAGCCTTAAAGAGACGCACGATGCAGGGAGCAAGCCCCAACAGATAATACCAAGGCTAAAGCCAGTCCAAGCGTGCAGGCTGCACTTCCTGGCAGGATTGCTCTCAGAGCACCAAGGTGAACCCGCTGAGCCCTGCTGCCCATGAGACAGGCTACTGTCTATAGGTAACAATTTCAGGAGAGGACTAGAACAAGCAGCAATTTGCTGCCCAGCCAGCAAACTCACTGTGGCTTCGCAGCCCTCCCCACCAAAGCCATTGCTGCTGCTGATGCAGTACCGGCCGTCCTGGCTTACATCGCAGTAGGTCTGAATATACTGCTTTACTGGGAACGTATGGGCCACCTGCAGCTCCCGGCTGTCCCAGATCCTGGAAAGGAGGAAAAAAGAACAAGTGAGGGAGAGTTAATACAGTGATTGGAACTCCTAGCAACATCTGGCCAGTTACTGGGGCAGAATCTACAGAAGAGAATGCAAACTGGCTATTTTGATGCATGCTCATGACAATATGCACAACCCAATCTCTTCACTCCTCCAGCCTGGGCTTCTCCTCCTCTATTTCAAGGGTTACCGAGCTCCATGACTCATCCCCGTGTTCTAGCCCAGACCTGCCAATTCTCTAGTTCTTTGTGGTGCTCCACATGTGTGAACCGGAGCTCTCCTTCCCTCTACCCAAGCCAGAGTCATTCCTCCCTTGAGATCTAGCCTGCGAGCTCCATGGGCCTAGCACAACGGGTCAGGTCTGGGTTGGGGCCTTGAGGAGACGCTACTGCAGTACTCATGTTAAACAACAATGCTTCGCCCTTCAGCCCACGTGTTTTCAGTCCCATTCCCTTTGCCCCATCCATCTCCCACCCTGTAGCTCGGCTACATGGGGATTTGCATCTTGGCCACTTTGAAATGCTGTTTTTTTTCTTTGCTGGTGGCCCCCTCTGCCTGGGAGAGGGCTGGGCAGCCCTGGACATTGCTCCTCTTATAGCTCGTCACCGTCCTGCTCTGCTGCGTATCATGCACGCCGTCTGCAAACTCCCTGTTTTCTCCAGCAACGGTAACAATATTGATCAGCGATGATAAAGCCACGCCAAAAGCTAACATAGCTTCCAGCCAGTGGCAAGTGGTACTGCTCACAGCACTGATGCCCTGATCGTGCGCTACCCTGCTGTAAATGATGCTCTCTACGAAATGCGAGGTTAGCACAAGGTTTGCTTCTAGCAACAGAGCTTGGGAGACAACTTCACTAGCCTACAAAGCCACTCCCTGCTGTGGTTTGTGCTGCAGACGCCAAACAATATCCTCCTTATTGCCCCAGTTCAAGCAGTAATGAAGTTCTCTGTTGATGTGTCTACTTCCTCAACAGGGTTAGAAACACCTGGCCTGCCAAAAGATGGGATGAGGAATGACAGCTGCCACGGCCACCCACCCAGTGAAAGAGAGAGGCGCCCAACAGCCATAGTGCACTGGTCTGGGGATGCCCAGGCACTCATCCTGGACCCAAGTGAGCAACTCTGCAGTCCAAGGCCATTAGCAGCCCCCATCCCACCAACAGGTCTAATCACTAGCACTGTCCATGGGATGGTTTTACAAAGCTCTGGGACCCCTCACCCACATTCTCCTGACTACACCAAGTCCCACCTCTGCAGTTGGTCCCCACCACTAGGCTTTACCTGATTGTTTTATCCTCTGACGTCTGGATGACAAACGGCTCTGCAGGAACCCAGCACAGGTGTGTTACCTGCCGAAGGGAAAGTTGTACCAGAAACCTGTCCACCTAACACAGCCCAAACTGACCCCTGCCCACACATACACTGCTCTTGTGGCCCAGCCATCCTCTGTCCCAAGCAGTCATCACTGGAGCCAGGAGGACTGGGTGGAGCTACCTCTGGATCCCATCAATGCTGCTCCCTTAGTAGCCACTGTGTGATTTGAGGTGCAACAAGGGAGGAGAGGGGACTTGGTCAGTAGGGTACCATGGAGGCCACGGGCTTTGTAGGATTAAACTGCCCTACACAAAATCCCAACGGGACATTTCTATGGGTAATTGACATGTCCCTGGTCCCATTAGATGGGCTACAAAATAGAGGGGTCAGAAACTCTCCTGTCTCAGGACAAAAGACCACCTTTAAGGAAGTCAGAAAGAAGCTTCCTCATAGTCAGGTTACACCACATTGTCCTCTCCAGGGATTCCTGCCCCCTCCTCTCAAGTAGCTGGCGCTGCACGCTGCCAACGACAAGAGGCGGGACTAGCTGGACCTTGAGTCTGACCCAGTCTGATGACTTCTGTGCTGTGGAGTTGTAAGCAGGAGTTCAGGGTTCTAGTCCTGACTCATTTCAACTCTCTGCCTTTGGGCAAGTCTCCTGGAGCCTGATTTTGAGGTGGGCTAAGGGATGGGCTTAACCCTTCAGTGCCCCAGCCTGCCCAGTGGAACACAGGGACAGGCAGTACCGGGTTTACCACGGCGCCGAGCCCAGAGTCAGAAGGGCCCAGGCCAGCCCAATCCCCCGGCTGGGTGAGATGGCCAGGAAAGCTGCCCCCACCCCTGTTCCTCCCCCACCCTGCCTCTTCCCACCCTTTCTCCGCCCTGGCCCCAGCCCCAGCCCCACCCCCACTCCGCCCCTTGCCCCCCCATGGCCCCTCCCCTGAGCTACATCCCAGGGGACTGCAGCAGGGGTCGGGCCCGCCCTGCACTCACTGGGCAGCGGGAAGTGGAGTGACTCTGCCCCAGCCCACTCTGCTCCACCGGCGAGTGCTGGGGGCAGTTCCTGCCTCGCCCAAAGTCCGGGAGCCAGGGGAGCAGAGCGGAGCGGGCTGGGGCCAGGTCACTCCACTTCCCGCCTCCCTGTGAGTGCGGGGCGGGCCTGCCCTGCAATCACCAGATGGCAGGAAGGTGGAGTGACCTGGCCCCAGCCCGCTCCGCCGGTGAGTGCTGGGGGGAGGTTCCCCCCTGCCCCCAAGCCTGGGGAGGAGATGGAGCAGTGGGGAAGGGGCATGGGATGGGGACAAGAAGGGGATAAAGGAAGCGGGACCAGGGGGGAAGCTGGAGCCCAGCATGCTGCATCCCCTTGGTAGAAGCTGGGGCTCCCCTGTTAATCAGGCCCATCGAACCCTCACCCTGACAAGCCCCACCTCCCCTGCATCTGTACCACACCAATGGGCCCCCCCCAGACACCCTCCCCACTGAGCCCCTACCACCTGCACTTGGACCTCCACCAAAATGAACCCCACCTCCCCTGTACCTCGACCCCCCCGCCGAGCCCCAAACACCTTCACCTGGATCCCCTGCAGAGTCCCATTGCCCCGGTACCCCCCAATGAGCTTCTGTGCATCCAGATCTCCCACTGAGCCACCCGCACCCAGACTGCCCCACAGAGAACTCTCTGACCCCCACCTGGATACCCCCACACTAAGTCCCTCTGCACTTGGATCCTGCTGCCAGGCTGAGCCTGCTCACCCACACCTGGTGCGCCTGGCACAGGGGGCAGGGGCCCAGGGTGTTTCTGGGGCAGGCCTGGCCCTTGCACTGTGTCAGGTTCGGGTGCAGCCTCACTGCTGAGTCCCTGTCCCGGGGTGGGATGGGGTGAGGCTGCAGGGTAAACTCCCATCTCCATTTAACCAGTGGCCTGTGCTTCCCACTGCCATGTTGGAGCCTCCAGATTTATTTATTGACAAACAAAATTTGCAAAATTTTAAAATACTGTGCACAGAATTTTTGATTTTTTGGTGCAGAATTCCCTCAGGAATATGGGGTGCTGTGCAGCTGGGATGGTGGGACTGTGAGGAAGGTGGTAGGCAGTGGGGAGGTCTACGGGTGGGGGGAACGGGGTGAGCAGTGTGGTGTGCAAGGTGCTGTGCAGTTGTGGTGGGAGGCCAGCGGGGGAGTCTCTGGGAGGGGTGAGGGCTGGGCATAGAGATCTGTGGTGGAGGTCTCTGGGCAAGGGGGTGCTGGACACAAGGGTGGGGTACTGGGCAGGGGGGAGGTGTGGTGCGGGCCCGCCCCCAGGGGGAAGGGGCATGCTGACAACACACGGCTGGGCCCATAAAAAGTTAATCCGGCCCTGGGGATAGGACATACCCTGCCTCACACGAGGAGCCGTGAGCCTTAACTCGCACGCCAGGCAAAGGCAGACAAGGGAGCTACATGTGCAACAGGTTATCACCGGGGTCAGCAACCTATGGCACGCATGCCAAGGATGGCAGGCAAGCCGATTTTTGATGGCACGCTGCTGCCTGCCGGGTCCCAGCCGCCGGCCCCACTCAGCGCCCGCGGGACCCTGGCAGGCAGCAGCGTGCCATTAAAAATCCTGACCCCCCTGGCCTGGTCTTCTCTGCCCCTCCCCGCGGAGGCAGGATGAAGAAGCTTGGTCCTGCCGGCTGCTGCTGCAGGGCAGGCAAGCTCCCCCCCCTACTCCCGCCTCTTTCGCCCCCCTCTTCCCCCCCCTTCCTGCCCCTCCTCCTCTCCCTCCCTGCTGCCCATCAGCTGATGGCCCTTGTTGGGAGGGGAAAAAGCAGAGCTGCAGCAGGCTCGCTTGCTGCTCCGGGGAGGAGGTGGAGAAGAGGTGGGGAAGGGGCCTGGGGGGTGGAATCAGGGCACATACCCTCCAGCCCCTTGCTGTGAGCCGTTCTGGGCAGGGGGCTGGGACCACCCGCATGACCCTAGCCCACACCCCCAGCCCTCTGCCCTGACCCCTACACCTCCACACACACACCCAGCCCCCTGCCCTGACCACTACACCCCCCCCACACACCCCAGCCCTCTGCCCTGACCCCTACACCCCCCACACACCCCAGCCCTCTGCCCTGACCCCTACACCCCCCCACGACCCCAGCCCTGACTCCAGCACCCCCCCCACATGCCCCCAGCCCTCTGCCCTGACTCCTGCACCCTCCTCACTCACCCCCAGCCCTCCCACCCCATGCCCTGACTCTTGCATCCCCCACATTCCCACCCCACCCTGAGCACCAAACGGGAGCTCCTGCACTCCCCCTGCCCACATTCCCACCTGCACCCCTCATACCAAATGGGAGCTGCCCAGGTAAGCACTCCATACCCAAACCTCCTGCCCCAACCCTGAGCCCCCTCCCTCATTCTAGCTCCTGGCCAGACCCTGCACCCCAACCCCCAGCCTGCTCCTGCACTCCCAGCCCTGTGCTCAGTGCACTCCCACCCTCAGCTCAGTGCAGAGAGAGGAAGAGAATGGGCTAGAACCAGGGAGAAGGTATGTACCCACTCTACATGGGCAGGGCCGGGATCCCAGACCGGCAGCGGGCTGAGCGGGGCTGGCAGCAGGGACCCTGTTTGGCAGGAGCCGGCGGATGGAACCCCAAACTGGCAGCGAGCTGAGTGGCAACGGGCTGAGCCGCTCAGCGCACTGCCGGTCTGGGGGTCCTGGCTGCCGGCCCCACTCAGTCCACTGCCGGTCTTGGGTTCTGGCTGCCGGCCCCTTGCCAGCCGGGGTCCCGGCCGCAGGCCCCGCTCAGCTGACTGCCGGCCTAGGTGAACAGAACCCCAGGTTGGCAGTGGGCTGAGTGGACCGGCGGCGTAAGGTCAGCGTTTTAATTTAATTTTAAATGAAGCTTCTTAAACATTTTGAAAACCTTGTTTACTTTACATACGACAATAATGTAGAGACTTATAGAGAGAGACTTTCTAATATGTTAAAATGCATTACTGGCGTGCAAAACCTTAAATTAAAGTGAATAAATGAAGACTCGGCACACCACTTCTGAAAGGTGGCCGACCCCTGGGTTATCGCAATCACTGCTTCGTACAATGATCACACTAGCATGAGAGCAAATCAGTGTTGCACTATCACAGCTCTCAGACGCTATAGCAGGGTCTTAAAGGACTGGTAAGAAATGGGTGGAAGTGACAGAATAGCACGTGTGCTGCAAGTAGATGCCACCGGTGCAGGAACTGAAGTGCGGAGATGATGGAATGGAAGCTGAAGCCTGCTTTACCTCACACCCTCCTGCTGGGGTCTCTTCCTGCTCTTGGGATGTGTGCAGGATTACGCTAAAATGCTGTTGTGTTCTTGCTCCTCCCGTTTGCCTTGTCCACTGAGCACTCTGGGGCAGGGACCTCACTTCTGACAAGTCCAAGGTGCCCAGGACACATTCAATTTCCTCAGCATGGAAGTCACTGCTGAGTGTGACCCACGCTCCCCGAGGCAGTTGCACCCATTCACTCCAGGCTGCCTCTGATCCAATGGCCTGAGCTCTAGCTTAGGCCTTTTGCCGGGATTCCTGGGTGATCAAGCAGGGACTCGGTGTGAAAGGCTTCTTCTAGAATTCACCTTAGTCATTCTGGAAAGCTAGGGCCCATGTCCTGGAGCTTTGGGTTACACCTGCACCACTGGGTTTCCCCAGGGGAATATTAGGCTGGCAGAAGTGGCCAGACAAAGTCCTGGGAAGCAAATGATGCAGTACATCCGGGATAGACACCTCCCAGGTACCAGCCACATGCTCTGCGGTTTTTGCATTATCTGGAGGGGCAGAGAATGCGTCCACTCACCACTGGCCTCCTCGCAGAGGCTGCTTTCAAATATGCTGATCAATGCAAACTCGGCATCTGGTGAGGTGGACCCACCACTTCCAGTCACCAGGGCCCCTGAAGTGCCATCCATTGGGAACAGCTTTCAGAGACTACTGCCCTGGCCTGCCTGAGCTCAGAGCATTAATGAAACATGCAACTGGAGTTTGTGTGGGGGGCAAGGCCTGCTCTCACCACACACACAAGGAAACCGCTGCATTGCTGCTAGGGCAGCAGCAAAAATAGTTTCCCCTTTGCATAGATTCACATGCACACGAGCCACTGGGCAGGGAGCTGCCATTCTAGGACAAACAGGGACATCTGCTCTTACCAGATTCCTGGAGATGGCAGCTCTGCGCAGACACTCCCCGGTCTCTATGTCCCACTTGCACATGGTGTTGTCCCTTGAACCTGTGCACAGCTGTAAAGAGTCTACAACCACAATGACTTTATGTAAGAGAGGGCAGGGAAACCAGCATTACTGCAACTGCCAGCAGTAGGAGACAGCTGGGCCTCACCTGGGCTCACCGCCAGTCCAGTTACAACCAAGTCATGTCCTGGGAAGTGCTGGCTTGGCCCCGAGTTCCTGTGTAGCTCCCACATCATGACTGTCTTGTCACGGGAGGCGCTGAAAAAACTGTTGGATTCAAAGACACAGGCCACCTGCACAGAACAGAATGAGAGATACAAGATCCATTTGCCAGCTCAACCCAACGGCAAGGCAAGAAAAGCCCAGCAAGTCTGCAATCGTTTCAGAGCTCAGAGCTGCAGCCATGTGGCCCAGGAAACACACAGCTCCAAAAGGGGGATATTTTGATTTACAAATTCCATTTTGTACTCACATGAAGACGACTCCAGGCCGTGCAATTCAGGGCGATTACTGCATCTCAGTGAATTCATGTCACTGGCTGCAGACCCTTATCGCTCCCCTCAAGAGTTAAACGACCCCAGAAACACACTCCCTCAACTTATATGGAAGAACTGTGGACAAACGTTAACTAGTAGATCCAGTGATCCAGGTCACAGTCACAGGCAGAGGAGAGGAAGCAAAGGAAGAGATTTAGAATATATCCAGGGCCTCGTGCTCTCAACGATTCCAAGGACCCTATTCCCACCACTGACCCGAGAGACACAATCCACACGCAGGTCTACACTTCAGATGCTGCACTGGTGCAGCTGCCGGCTGTAGCGCTTCAGTGAAGATGCTCCTATGCCAGCGAGAGAGCTTCTCCCATTGGCGTTGTCAGTGGGTCTCAGCCTGTGGTCTGCAGACCCCTAGGGGTCAGCAGACTTTGTCTAAGATTACCAAAGGGGTTCGCACCTTCATGTGAAAATTTGTAGGGGTCCCCACATTAAAAAAAGGTTGAGAACCACTGGTGTAATTAATCCACCACCCACCGACACAGTTCTGTCTACACGGGGGGTTACGTCGGTACATCTGTGTTGCTCAGGAGGGTGGATTTTTAACACCGAGCCACGCATTTATACCACTGTAGGTCTGTACTGTAGACCAGGCCTAAGCTTTCATTAACAAAACTAAATCACTCTCCAACCCTTTGGGGTGTGAAAGGAACTTCCCAGGTATGAACCAGGCACAAGCTGAGGCAGCTCTGTTCTCCTGACTCTTCAGAAGCCGGAACCAAGCGCTCAGAGAGGTGCGAACAGTTCCTCCCTGGGAAGCGAGAGCTCTGAAACCTAATGATGGCCATTTAAATGTCAATAACCACTTTGCTGCTGATCATTTTAGCAGAAACCTGCAGAGCTGTGCCTAGCCACCTTTAGTGGATGCAGAGGTGTAGTAGGGAGGCAGGAAGCTGTCACAGGCCGGTAGGGCAGGGAGAAGGAAACAAGGTCCTCGAGCTGCTTCCCCTCCATCCCCAAAAGTCAATGATTGCTGCCATACTCACCTAGGGAGAGGAGGAGGGGAAGCTTACAAGAAGTGGAAATTTGGACAGATGACTAGGGAGGAGTATAAAAATATTGCTTGAGCATGCAGGGGTGTAATCAGGATGGCCAAGGCACAATTGGAGTTGCAGCTAGCAAGGGATGTGAAGGGTAACCAGAAGGGTATCTACAGGTATGTTAGCAACAAGAAGGTGATCAGGGAAAGTGTGGGACCCTTACTGAATAGCAGAGGAAACAAAGTGACAGAGGATGTGGAAAAAGCTGAAGTACTCAATGCTTTTTTTGCCTCGGTCTTCACAGACAAGGTCAGGTCCCACATTGCTGCACTGGGCAACACAGTATGGGGAGGAGGTGAGCAGCCCTCAGTGGTGAAAGAACAGGTTAAGGACTATTTAGAAAAGCTGGACATGCACAAGTCGATGTGTCCAGATCTAATGCATCCAAGGATGCTGAGGGAGTTGGCTGATGTGATTGCAGAGCCATTGGCCATTATCTTTGAAAATTCATGGTGATCGGGGGAGGTCCTGGATGATCGGGAAAAGGCAAATATAGTGCCCATATTTTCGAAAGAGAACCCAGGGAACTACAGACCAGTCAGCCTCACTTCAGTCCCCGGCAAAATCACGGAGCAGGTCGTCAAGGAATCGATTCTGAAGCACTTAGAGGCGAGGAAGGTGATCAGGAACAGTCAACATGGATTCACCAAGGGCAAGTCATGCCTGACCAACCTGATCGCCTTCTATGATGAGATAACTGGCTCTGTGGATATGGGGAAAGCGGAGGATGTGATATATCTTGACCTTAGCAAAGCTTTTGACACAGTCTCCCACAGTATTCTTACCAGCAAGTTAAAAAAGTATGGATTGGATGAATGTACTATAAGGTGGATAGAAAGCTGGCTAGATTGTCAGGCTCAATGGATAGTGATCAATGGCTCGATGTCTAGTTGGCAGTCGGTATCAAGTGGAGTGTCCCAGGGGTCGGTCCTTGGACCGGTTTTGTTCAACATCTTTATTAATGATCTGAATGATGGGATGAATCACCCTCAGCAAGTTTGCAAATGATACTAAGCTGGGAGGAGAGGTAGATATGCTGGAGGGTAGGGATAGGGTCCAGAGTGACCTAGACAAATTGGAGGATTGGGCCAAAAGAAATCTGATGAGGTTCAACAAGGACAAATGCAGAGTCCAGCACTTAGGAAGGTAGAATCCCATGCACCGCTACAGGCTGGGGACCGACTGGCTAAGCAGCAGTTCTGCAGAAAAGGATCTGGGGATTACAGTGGACGAGAAGCTGAATATGGGTCAGCAGTATGCCCTCATTGCCAAGAAGGCCAACGGCATATTGGGCTGTATTAGTAGGAGCATTGCCAGCAGATCGAGGGAAGTGATTATTCCCCTCTATTCGACACTGGTGAGGCCACACTGAGAGTATTGCGTCCAGTTTTGGTCCCCCCACTACAGAAGGGATGTGGACAAAATGGAGAGAGTCCAGTGGAGGGCAACGAAAATGATTAGCGGGCTGGGGCACATGACTTACGAGAGGCTGAGGGAACTGGGATTGTTTAGTCTGCAGAAGAGAAGAGTGAGGGGGGATTTGATAGCAGTCTTCAACTACCTGAAGGGGGGTTCCAAAGAGGATGGAACTCGGCTGTTCTCAGTGGTGGCAGATGACAGAACAAGGAGCAATGGTCTCAAGTTGCAGTGGGGGAGGTTTAGGTTGGATATTAGGAAACACTATTTCACTAGGAGGGTGGTGAAACACTGGAATGGGTTACCTAGGGAGGTGGTGGAATCTCCTTCCTTAGAGGTTTTTAAGGTCAGGCTTGACAAAGCCCTGGCTGGGATGATTTAGTTGGGGATTGGTCCTGCTTTGAGCAGGGGGTTGGACTAGATGACCTCCTGAGGTCTCTTCCAACCCTGATATTCTATGATTCTATGCAGTCCCTCCCCAGTGCCAAAGCCTCCAATGAACTCAGGTTGCAAATGCCCAAACTGCCTCCCAGCCCAACTGTCCCCAGCTCCGCTGCATGGATACGGGGTTCACACACCATGAGCGGGAGCGGCATGCAGTCCTGCTTCCTCTGCAACTACTTCAGTCCCCAGGCAGCGCCAGTATAGCATGCCACAGCACACAAGACCCTGGAGGGCAGAGGAAATCAAGACCTCCTGCAATGGAGATGAAACCAAATTATCGTCACACAAGGAAAACGGCTCTGGCTGGCCTGTTCACTTCACATTCAACCCACTTGCCTCCTAGGGCACTCTGGGATTTAGCAATGCCATCCCTCAAGGCCTTGTCACAGGAGTTAGGCCCAGCTTGCCACAGAATGGACAGGGCGCAGGACACTTGAAATACTCTACAGCAGCGTTTCTCAAACTGGGGTCCACAAGGGTACTCCAGGGGGTCCGCAGGCCCCACTGATCAACTCCACCCCCTCCCTCCCAGTGCCTCCTGCATACAGGTGGCACTGGGAGGGAGGGGGAGGAGTGGGGACGGGGCACGCTTCGGGGAGGGGGTGGAAAGAAGTGTGGAAGAGGAGGGGCAGGGTTGGAGTGGAGATGAGGCCCGGGGCTGAGTGGGGGGTTTGGGAGTCTCTGAAAAATTTTAAATCAAAATTTGGGTCCTCGGGTTGCTAAAGTTTGAGAACCACTGTTCTACAGAAATGCCAATGGATTAGGAAGGAGCTGCAGTTTGCAAGAGAGCGTCTTTGGTTTAGTTCCTTACACGCTGAGGGGACTGTCCAGAGTACTCTGCCTCGCCCTGTTTGAAGCCGAGAGCACATTATTAACCCCCGTTTGCGAAGGGGGATGTTGAAGCACATGGAGGGGAAATGACTGAACCAGCCACACCCAGCAAGGTCAGCAGCAGAGCCAGGAATAGAATTTGAGTCTCCTGAGTGCCAGCGTCTTCTCCCATTCACTATTTCCCCCTGACAATCAACAGGGGCTCTTGAAAATAAGGGATTACTAGCAGAGGCTAGAGCCAGGCATGACCTAACATAGTTGCACAGTTTGGCTATGTACCTGCAACACCCCGTCTATTTCAGCCCTTCATGTCTTGTGAGCTGTGCAAAGTGCACAGTGGCTTTGTGATGTACACAACTGGGGACCAGGAGGAGGTCACCAAACATCTGTGCTTGTAGCCAGAGCTAGCATTTAAACTTTAGATTACAGAGGTGGTGGGGGGTGGATGGGCAGGCAGAATTAACCTGCTTTCCCAAAAGTGAGTGCGCAGATGAAAAGACAGTTACCTTTTCCGTAACTGGTGTTCTTCGAGATGTGCTGCTCATATCTATTCCACAATAGGTGTGCGTGCTCGCCACGTGCACTGGTGCCGGAAGTTTTTCCCCTAGCAGTACCCGTAGGGGGGGGAGCGCCCCCCACGACCCCTGGAGTGGCGCCTGCCTGGGGCGGTATAAGGGGAGCTGTGCACTCCCCCCACCCTCAGTTCCTTCTTGCCAGACAATTCTGACAGAGGGGAAGGAGGACGGGATGCGGAATAGACATGAGCAACACATCTTGAAGAACATCAGTTACGGGAAAGATAACTGTCTTTTCTTCTTCGAGTGATTGCTCATGTGTATTCCACAGTAGGTGATTCCAAGCTATATCTGTTGGAGGTAGGTAGGAGTTCACAAGCCCTGCAGAACCCAGCGTCATCCCTGGGTTAGGGGACAATCACATAGTGCGAGGTGAACGTGTGAACCGAAGACCACGTGTCGGCCCTACAAATGTCCTGGATGGGGACGTGGGCCA